GTGTGTGTGTGTGTGTGTGTGTGTGTGTGTGTGTGTGTGTGTGTGTGTTCCCAGAGGCTAACGGCTTCTGCAATTCCTCCTCAGTTACACCTGTGACCATCTCTGCCCCCATCACCTCGGCGATGCACCGGTGCCACTCCAACAACCCCGTCACCATCTCCGCACAAATGAACATTGGCACCAACACGGTCAACATCACGTCTCCCATCAGCCTCCAGCACCCGGTCACCATCGCTTCCGTCAACATCCCCTCCACGGGGTCCATGAATATCGCCCACCCGGTCGCCATCACGACCAGCATGCCCATGAACATGGCCGGCCCGCTCAACATCGCCATGAGGTCCATGGATAGCATGCCTTTTCTGTCCCAAGTCTTGCCTTCTTCCCCACCCTGGTAAAGAAAGAAAACAACAGAAAAGAAGAAGAGGTGAGTGTTGGACTGGCCAGCAAGAAAGGGAAAATGAAGTGAAACGAGAGACTCGAGACCCGTCTCTTTCTCCCCCCCCCCCCCCCCCAAACCATGTTTACTTACCCCCGAGGTGAACATCTACATGAGCTGCTGCGCCGCCGGTAGGAGCTTCCCCCCCCCCCCAAGTCACAGCTGCGTCCCAACTAATGTTAAAGCAACCGACGTGAGAGGCAGAACACTTGAGTAGAAATCGAGTAGGATTTATCGTGAAATCAGGACGACCGCCGTTAGTGTAGTCAAGTTATAGAGTGATGAAACTGTGATTCGTATGATGACAAAGGAGAGGAGAGGATTCCCCCCCCCCCCTGAGGACTCCGTAGGAAAACACACCTGTGCTTTTTGTAAAAGGGAGACGAGGAACGGACTGAAGCAATAACAATAAATTGCTGTTTTTAGATGTTTTTACAAGTTCTCTCCCAAAGCCTCTGGGTGTTACTTTGTATGTCGTTTATTTTTTTGTTTTGTTTTTTATTATAGCCTGCTAATCACTATTTAATGTTATAGGAAATGAGTCTAGAAAAAGGGACGGCAGCTTCCATTCGCGTGGAAGAATATTTTTTCACAGTGCTCTAGCTTTTCTTTTTCTTCTCAGATAGTAGGTATGCTCTCGAGGTACAGTGACTAACTTGTACAGTTGACATAGTAATGTATTTTCATGTCGGCATTTTTAAAACCATTTTTTTAGCTTTTGTCATTCAAGCGGACGTCTCGACGCTGTCCTCTCTGACAGCGACACGTTTGTGCTTTTGTTTTCCATCGGTCTGGAAACGCAGAGGTTTTGTTTTCATTTGCCTATTTGTAGTGTTCATTTTTCCATGAAGTCAGAATTGATCGAGTCTTGCACTGAAAGCATATCCTACACACACACACACACACACACACGCAGGTGAGCAGCAGTATTATCAAAGATCAAAATTGGAGTCTTAAGTGTGGTGGTTAGCCGGCCTGCACCTAGAGGGCTATCTAGTGGCTGAACATGGGACTTCCTGGCCTTGTAGTGGAGCTTTTTCAGGCCGTTGCTGTCATCACAATGGTGACTAATTAGTTTTTGTCTGACTCTTCTGTACACTGTTTTTTATTTTTTATTTTTTTTTTAAATCATTAATCTGTGAACGCCCCACAATGATACGAGGGACCCTTCACTCAGGAAACACACATAAAAGCCCCATTACACATGAACGTGGTTCCTTTTTAAGTTTATCTACCATGTATCTTAATTCCAGCTCTTTTTTTTTTTTTTTTTAGATCATAATTGGGTACGTCGCGTTAAACGACTCCCATCACGGACAAGAAGTCCCAGAACTATTGATTTTAAACATAGCCGTCCATTTAAATAATCGTTTCCTGTGCAATGGCATACATGCTGTATTTCCATCATGAAGTGGAGTTCAGCCTCGGGCTGCGTAAGTTATGTGGCTGCGAGTTTGATCAAATGCAAGTTTGTGTCCATGAAAATAACGGGACAGGATTGATGTTGCATGACCCCAAACACTGTTGAACATGAACTTGTTTTTAATGAATGCCATGTGATCTCAGCAGTGTTGCAAAGTTGATTTCAGTTCATACTGAAAAATGCAATATGCATGTTTGTCATTTTTCCCCCCCGAAAATTTTGTTTTAAACAAAATGTTAGCGTAGCTTTTTCTTTGTTCTTATGCATTTTACGTAGATACACTATGATAGCCTGTTTGCCAAATTTGATACAATAATAATGTGATAAACTGAACATTTCTAGTGGAATTGAACATCTCTTTATTTTTTAGGAAAAGAAAAAAAAAATTTGGAAATTCCAGGACCCTTGTGAAAGCAGTTGAATGTATATCTTTGTACAAAACTATTTTAGTTCCAAGGATATGGTAGTTACAATAGATGTGAAAGATAAGATAACCTTTTTTTTTTTTTTTTTTTATAAATCTTTTGTATTAGAACATTAACAATGGTAATTTTGTATATATACGAGAGGCTAGGCTTTCCGATTAGCAGAAAGGTCAAACATTCCTACATTTTTTTTTAAATGTATGTTTGTCAAATTATTACATAAACATGCGCAATGTTATGTGCCTTTTATTTGGGTTGTCTAAATAAAAGAAAACTACCAAATGTGTTTATATGGATTAAGTAATGTTCGGTATGAAGAAAGCACCACAGGTTCAAAGTATGAGTTTATCACTCTTTATCTCTTTAGCAGAGAATTACCAGAAGCGATGAGATTTATCGTTCGTTTAGGGGCTCTTCATTGACCTTACCAACCCATAGGCGGGAACACAATGTTTAGTGCTTGAGTTTTACATTTACTTTTAGATTGTGTCCATCAAATCGGTGGTTATTTTTACATTGTGCTAACTACACATATTCCCAACCATTATCCAAAACACGTTGCTAGTTTTTAGATTGAGTTGCCTTCTACGCAGCAACTTGTTTTGACTTATTTCCCTGCAAAATTTAAATCAACCCTCACCCAACCAGTTTCGTTTTGTGCATTCAGAACACGGATAAGGAGCGTTGGCAGCCCAATACTACGATGGTGAACTGTCCTCATATTTACAGCTAGTGTGTATTTCAATTAGCTCAAGGTTTCAAGTTTGCACCCCCCGACCAGGGGGTCCCACAGCCTGCACTGATTTAGACATGCAACCAGACGTCATATTCCCAGAGATGTGACGGCACAAAGGTCGAGATGGGAGACCGTGAAGCACATTCCCACTGTGGAGGTTGGGTGACCGGGCAATGCTCTTGGTCCTTTCCTCATAACCATTGACGCACCCAAAGCCTCCCCAATGCCCTGGGAGACCCATTTCACTTGCTTGGTTTTGAAAGTGCACTCAGCGATCATGACGATGAGTCCCTGACACGTGACATCGACCCACCGTGGACGTGTGGGCTTGAGATTCATGAAGTGATGGGGTGAGAGGTCGCTGCCTCCGGGGCAACACTCTCCGCTGCACTGTAACTGTATATGAAGTCAATAAAATGTAGCTCCACCTCACGCAGCTACAACAGCAAAAAATGCTGCTTACACACTGATGCATTAAAATTACTAATCAAATGTGTGTAATAAAACAGTCACGGGCTAGTACTTTTACTTTTGATACTTCAAGTACAGTTTGCTGATAATACTCCTGTAAAAAAAGATTTTGAAAACGGGACTATTACTTGCAATTTGAGTATTCTTACATTACCGTGCTGGTACTTTTACTTAACGTTACTTTATTAAAACATTCTCAATTTAATACTGATGCTTCTACATAAGACGACGAGACCACCAGCGAGAAGATTCTATGTTGCTATTCTTAATGCTCTTCATCCGTGCAAAATCAGACAAATCCTGCAGGTTCACCAGAAACTCCTTCAGCTGAGACTCAAGCGGGGCCTCCGGTGGGGACCAGTCCACCGTGGACAGACCCAGACCCGACTTCGTCCCTGCAGTCAGAGCTCGGTCAGGAGGAGGAGAGCTCTGCTCCTGGCTGGAGGTGGTGCCACTGCCGGGAGCAGAGCTCTCCTCCTGCACCTTCGCCTCACTGGAAGCCACCACGGACACCATCCTGCTGGAGACCAGGGCCGTATCGCTGGGCCCTCTGAAGCGAAGGGAAGCACGGGAGAACCAGGACTAGGACTGCGCGGGGCAGACTGTCGGACCCTTCTGCATTGAGAATGAGAGGTATTCTAAAGGGAATCTGGTGCTCGGAAACACTTCCACTTGTGTCCACAGGGGCCGCAAAAATCCACACAAAATGACAGGTCCTCATTATAGCTTTAAGTTAAGGATTTGCGTACTTCTTCCACCACTTTGCGGTTGTGAGTGACCAAAAGCACTGCAGCATTGAACTTCCTAGTGCTCCTGTCATTCGTCAACCCTAAACATCCTCGAGGGCCGCTGTTTCTTGAGATCTTGGGGCCACCACGTCTGACGCAGACGATCGAGCCACAATCGGAGTCACTCGGGTCACGCAGCTTGCCTGCTGTTTGGTCAAAAACCCGTTGAAGCCCCTGAGCTGCCTGCATGTTCGCTGAGTAGCAACCAAACAGCACCAGTACTTTAATGTGTAACCAACCATGAAAGCCATCAGCCCAACATGTCCCGAGGAGGCTAGTGCAACACAAAGATCTTCCGTTTTGCTGAATATGTTTTGATAATAGACTGCGCTCTCTGTTTCCAATTCACATCAGGGTCCGAGTCATTTTTTTCTGGATTCTACATTTCTAATCTGCATTAATCTGTCCAGCATTTCTGAAAGACAAACTGCACTAAAGACACTCTTGGAAGCTGAATGAGACTTCATGTTTTTTGTTTTTTTTTGCAGTTTTGAGTTGCCCAGCAGATGGTGCTGTCTATGCATATTTCACTTGAGTCCTTTCCAGTTTTATCTACCCTTTGTTCCTCCAACTTGTCCCCAGTGTGGGCCTATTGATTTACATTGCCCTCTGTGATAGCAGCCACTTTACTCACTGAATGGCAAAGTTTGAATTTCATCGTTCCCGGACCGGACATTCTACTTGACTGGGACGGTGTTGGAAACCACTGAGACACACAAAGACACTCCAGAGGACATGTATCTGATGGTGGACATTTTATGGAGTGGACCAGCTTAGATCCCTGTGGTGGAACAATTTACCAAAAAGTGAAATGTGCTAAGGCAATTGTGTACCTTTTCATTTGAAGATCTTCAGCAATGTAAAAATCTGTTGTTTTTTGCTGTAAAGTAAGCTGTGATCTAGTCAAACATTTAAGGTTGCTGCACTGGTAAAGAACTGAAGCCCACCAGTACTTTCTCCTCTCTGCCCCCCCCCCCCCCGCTCCCCTCGCATGTATTCAGTAAAAATAGTAAAGGTTAGAAGGGGGCCTGTCCCTTAATGGAAATTCATTTTCAGAAAAAGCTAAACTCATTTGGCTGAGCTCTAGGGCAGCTGAAGTACGCAGGAGGCCTGCTCTGTCTTATTTCCTGTTTTCAGATTGTTTATAATAATATGAAAAAGGCAATGGATATGCTTCTAGATTCTAGTAAAAAGGGATATAATAGACATTTCAAAATAAGAGCTCCACAGCATCTTGGACTTAAAAGAACCTTCCCTGTAGTGGGTTTTTGTATGCGTTCACGCATACAAAAACCCACTGGGAAACCCAGTGGGGAAAGAAATGTATACACTGAAAATGACATTGATTCCACACGACTATACCGGTTTACTGTGAGACCAATATGATGTTGGCTCTCTTTTATCCAATGATTAAATAACAACAAACTTCACGCCACAACACCACTTGACATTTCTGCTGAGGTCATGATGAGCAAAGCTAAAAGCAAACATGTCTTGTCAGCACAAACTGCAGACGGCTGCAGACTCGTACGGTCAGAAGACCGAGGTCGCCCTTGAGTTGCTCCAGACTGGGTCAGGACCCGCAGGTGGAGGTTTCAGTAGGGTTGCCAAATAAATTCTTCCATCTTCTTCTACTTCCAGGTTTACGTCTGCAGTACACCTTTGAGCCACATGAGGGAGCCTGAATGTTTGTATGGATCTGATAATTGTAGCCCACTTATAACATTGAATCTAATATGAAAGGTATGGTGTACATTATGTGTTTGTTTTACTGATGAGAGGAAAAAAACAACTCCACCTAAATTAATTTTTCTGGCCTTGTTATTGAGTGTTTAATGTGTGTATATGATTTCAATAACATGCTTAAAACAAAGCTATAGTCAAGATAATGAAAGGTGATGCGTAAATGGCTGTAAGAGATAGTCAGGAACGTTCCTTTATGCACAAATTTGCTCTTCTCGCAATCTTTACATAAGGCCTATCTGTGGGTTGTCATTTTTAAGAAGTGGGTATAAAAAGGATGCAGGTCTTTCTTCCTAAAATTAGAAATCTAGTAAAAAAAATTGCAGAGTTACCTTCAGCATTGAGAGAGCTAAAAGATGTAGAAGTGTGATTATGGTTGGCTGCAGTGACTCCTAAGCGTTCGAATAAGGACGACAATCATGTCTGCTCAGAATGCCTCAAGCACTGCGTGTAATTCAAATGAGCTGTTTTGGTGTATCGCAGACAATGCAGGCCAATGACAGCACACATACTGTTAATCAAAATACGAGCATTAATCAGGGTACGAATGAAACATTTCTTGAAAAGTTTACATATTTAAGCATCTACGGAAACAAAAGGATTAAAGACACTTTAAATGCAAACATTTGGCCCTGACTTACCCACAATACTGCAGTCAGCTGAGTGTTACTTTTCAGTGTTTTTAAATCAACGTAGGTGTATTTTATACAAAAACATATAAAGATTTGCACTGCAAAATAATAAATAAATAATGAATGTACATATGTCCCGTCACATTCACATACAGACCAAGGTACACACATTTGTGAATGTCCTATTTATTTGAATTATGCAGTGACAACACCTGCATCAAAATCATGTCTCCAAATGGTGCAAACTGCTTCTGCGGACCGTACAGGGCAGAGGCTCCGGGGTTGGCCCGTGGAAATCCTGTCCAGCAAAGCAGATGAAATCAGACGGCCCTCAATCTAATTTAATCTGAGCTCCATGCTACGTGTGGTGTCATGGCTGTCCAATGGCATGCCAGTTTAAACGGCTTAAGGGACCGTCAGGCTGGGAAAGGATCATGTTATCCTCAGCCGGGTGAGTCGCGTCAGCAAGCTGTCAAGTGCCTATCTGAACATTGCTCATGCAAATCTTTTATATATATATATATATAATATATATATATTATATATATATATTGCAGGAACGTTTTGTTGCCTGCATGCATTTATTACTGAACAAATGTCAGAGAACGAATGATGAGGCGCTCAGATGTTTTTCATCAGATGCTTCTGTTGTGCTCACATTTCACCTTTTTGTGACCCGTCAACTGAATGTTTAAGTCGTCATTGCGGTTACTACTGTGGTTATACAATAGAGGATAAACCAGACGTATGGTATGAGAGAAGTTTAGATGAATAATTCCCTTAAATTGCACGGTTTTACTGACAGCTGTGTTCCTGTGTGTGGTATTTAGCAACAATCTGTTTCCAGCATTAGCCGCCATCATGTATAACAAAGTTAAACAACACTGATCCGCCTCACCTTTGTGTTGTTCGTACATCGCTGCTTATTAGCTTGACTGCTCTCTAAAAAAGTAAACATATACAGCCAATATTAAATATCTCTTCAAAACTTTACTCTGATCTCACTTTCTTTTTCTTTTTTTTTGAGCTGGAATTGGCAGGGTGTGCTGCTGGCATGTCCCCATCAAATCTGTGCTGTTAATACGGCAAGACTGCATTTACAAAGCACCGGACCAACAGCAACAAATAGTTCAGTGGTTTATTGGAAATCGGCTGTTTCTGTTTCGCTCCGTCGCTTCAATGGCGTTAGACGGATTGAATTTCTTGTCGAATCGGTGCCAAATGTATTTCTCTGGTCTGTCAGAGGTTTTTTTACGTATAGTTTCAGCTGATTGGAGGTCAACCCTGTGGTATATGCCTAAAAGAGTTTTCTACTTCCTCGGTTTTGTTTTCAACCTGATCTCCACATGTTGCAGTGCGAGGCCTGCTGCATGGACTGGTGCATGTCTGGCCAGTGATAAGAGGACGAGAGAGAGACAGCTAGACAGATGGAGAGGAGGAACACAGGGCTCCGTGAGAAGTGACTCACGTTCCATTGTATAATCAGGGTATATTAAAGGAAGGAACATCACACCCTCATTGCAGCAATGAGCCATGTGCACCGTTGCTTCATGGTTGTGGAAACTGTGCGCACACACCTACCGCCCACCATGCGTGTGATGTGCACCGTGTTCACACGAGGGCAAACTGGGGTACCTCTGCTCTTGAAGTTGCAGCAAGTTCCGTCACTGACGTCGTTTCTTCATTTTCGCCTGCGTGCTCTTTCGCTCCGGCGTGCGTTTGCTTTCGGTAGGGGAAATAATAAGAGCACGAGTGGGAGGATGAAGAGATCGGTTTCAATTTGACCGTCTCATTTGGAGTAACTCTCGAGAATTCTGCAGAGCGAGAGTGTATGCACTCGACAACAACAAACTGAAAATGTGTACTATTAAAAGGCCGAGAGACACACTGCACCCTTTCCACGCCGAATGTCACAGCATTGTGGAAAGTGCACAGTCTGCATTTTGAATGCAGCCCGTGTACACTCAACTACATGCAAGTGGAATGTCAACTATGTGGAATTGGATTGGCGGTGATGGGAAAAGGGGGCTGCACACAGATCACAGACTGAACCCTCAACAAAACACAACGAACCTGCATGAGGCCTTTTAATCGTAATATGCTAAAATCTCATTCCTGTAGGCCTCGTGGTGCATTTCTTTCGCTCAATGCAGAGAACATAGCGGCGGTCCATGGCGATGTGATGTGAGGTGAAAGGTGGTCATTATTCTTGGGGCCCATAGCTACTCTTGCATTGCCAGCACTGCCTCCCCACACTCCTGTTTAATTGTTCTGTAGAGAGAGAGAGAGAGAGAGAGAGAGAGAGAGAGAGAGAGATTCTGGCTCCCTGAATTCCTCACAGCACCAATACCAGGCAGATCGTGCACAATTCCTTCAAAGCAGATATTTTGTGAGCCAGCATGACCGACTCCAGGACCTTAAAACCGAAGAAGCTAAATGGAATTAACCGTTGATTTGTTTTTAATCATTTTACGCCTGTGCTCTTCCTGTTGTAACAAGCCAAAAATAATTAATAATAATAATAATTCAATGACAAAGTGTAATATCAAGGAACTCACCGGAGCTCCAAAATGGAATACACCATAATCAATGTTATTAATTACACCTGTGCTTTTCCTGCTATAGCTTTGTAGATACTGTACTAAACACTTCCCTGTGTGCTAATACGAATCAACTTCCCTTCAAGGAATAATTAAAGTGAGCCGTACGCAACTCGCTCTCCCTCATTTGCATGCGAGTGAGCACGCGCCACGAGAGGGTGAGGGTAGGGGGGGGGAGGGGGTCGAGGCGGTGTAGCGCGGAGTGCAGTTTTTTTTTTTTTTTGTAAGCCTGGGCTGACTTCATTTCCCAGACTGCACCGCGCCCCATGATGTTCCCAACAGCTGACAGACGGTGAGAGCCTCTGCCACAGAGCTGTCGGTGCAAGAGAGTAGCCTGTCGTCGGTAGCCTGTACGGACCGAAAAATACAAGTCGAGCACTCCTGGACTTCGGACCACTTCACCCCCTGTTTCCCCGTCGAGCATCTTGTTTTGACCAAAACGAAAATATTTCCTCTTGCCTCTTGCATCCTGACTTTTTTGTGTGGTTTTTTTTGTCCTGACTGGGGAGCTGGGGGACATTTGCTGTCAGCTAACTTCCACAATAGGTCGCTGCGTCGCTGGACTGCTGCATGTGTTTTTTTATTTTTTATTTTTTATAATTTTAGCTTAACCGTTTGACTCCAGCCCTTCCAGCCGTGCCCAATGCTGAGGAATGGATAGTGTGTCTGCTAAAGGTGGGAAGATGGTCGAGAGTGATGAGCAGCCGGAGAGGGACAGTGGCGGCGGTGGCGCAGCGATGGCCGCACTACATCAATGCGAACTCATCCAGAATATGATTGAGATCTCCATCCCCAGTTTACAGGGGCTGCGGACCAAATGCGCCGCGTCCAACGACCTCACGCAGCAAGAAATACGCACTTTGGAGGTAACGAGCTTTCCAGATCTGTTATCGAAGCCCCCCCCCCCACCCCCTTGTCCTGCGATAGCGGAGCAGTCGAGTCAAATTGCGGAGTCATAAACCCCCAACGCACCATGTCCGCTCATACAGGCGGAATATTAGGCTGCGAGCGAGGCGCCCTATCACCGAGCGTCAGTGAGCTGGGCACATTGTGTCGCTTTACGATGTAGACCTACTACTACTAGGTCGATGTGTTGAGGGTGCAGGTGACTCAAAAGAAAATGACATCCATTGTTTGCCTTCATTATGCCTGCAGAAGATCCCCTAAATGGTCGGAGATAGGACGGATCCGGTTATTTGTGCGAACCCTCTCCTCTAGGTGGAAGCGTTTGTTCAGAAGCCCCTCGCGCGCGGCGCCGCGCGGACGAATCCCGCCTGGCCTAATGGCACACATTCTATAATCTGATACACCGCTAATGTATGTTATCGTGTTCCGTCTCCCTCTGCACGGGATCTCTCTCTCTCTCTCTCTCTCTCTCTCTCTCTCTCTCTCGCGCGCGTGTGTGTGTGTGCACAAAAGACGCACGCGAGACAAATACAAGGCAATAAAAAAAAAATGTACGACGTGTTCCGCGTTGTTTATCCGCGTGAGCGGGCAGGGTTTGATGCCCCCGCTGCATCTGGATGCGGATTCAGTTCTGGTCGCGTTGGCATGACTTGACATTGCTTTGCGCGAGAGACCGGGGCTTTGTAGGGGGCCTCGGCACTGTTGCAGGCGGTGTGATAGAGGAAGTCATGCCTGGTCGCATGCAATTTCTGTCTCTATAGCCTTTCAACCATCACCGTGGGTATTTAAAATAGAAAATAAAAAAAAGCTCTTATAAAATTGCACATCTGTAAGTAGTTACACCATAATAATCAACCTTTTTTGTGTAAAGTGTGTTCATCTTTCTGAAAAGTGTGATCCCTATGCTTCCTGCTTTGTGAATTTGTGCAGTGACGTTGACGGAGCCCTATTTGTAGCTGGGGCCTGCATGTTTTGCACCCATGGGATTGTTTACAGTCACATATTGTTGTCGTAAATATTCTCAGCTGCGAGACGACTGAAGGAATCATGTCATGGAAAGTGCAGCTTCATGTTGTTAGTAACAATGCCATGAGGGGACAACAGGCCCCAGCGTCCTGCTGGGGTGGCAAGAGGGGGTTTGTGTGTGGGGCTATAGAAGACTGATACAGTACATTTAGATGAGACGTGGAGTTGTGAGAAATAGTGGAATAGTACAAGGTTCATGCCTACAACTTGTAGAGGGTAGTCTAATGTGTCTTTGGGTGTGTAGGCTCCAGACATCCTGGAGACATGATGGATGGTAAATGGGTTTTCTGGCTCATGGTTTATTTAAGCGTTATACCTTGGATAAAAGGAATATTCTCTCCTGATTGGCTGGAGGCTATCAATTATCCATGTCTGTTTTATTTCTGTATAACTGAACACCCCGTGAACAATTGCGCCGTCGCCCCGAAAAGCTAATGTACCAGAAAGCTCCGAGCGTTTGGTTTCAGCCTCACAGAGACGCGACGGGCCTGGCTGAACTGGTTTTCCCGGTGACCTTCACTATTTAGTCGCAGAGTCGCAATGTATCTTGCTGTTGCTCTGGCGTCCGTCCGCCTCAGCAGGCCAGGACGCACCACAAAAGATCTACTTGAGTCGGTGTTTTTAGGTGCAGCTTTTTCTTTTCCATTTCCATAATGTCTACAAGATAATTCGGTAGCCCCTTAGTTGGCCCGGCAGGCACAAGCTGCAAGTTGGCACGCTGTGTAGGGGAACACATTTTCACAGGCTCGAGTAAAGAAACACTATTAAATGGAGAAAAAATTCAAAGTATTAACTGAAGTGGAGAACAGACAGGGGGGCGGGGGGGGGTTACCCCTGAAAAGACAGAGAAATGCAAATAGGGGGTCTGGTTACCTCAAGTGAGCTCTGCTAAGTTTCGGTGTCCTTAGCATTTTGAGGGTTGAAATCGACCACTTCCTGCTTTGGAGATGATAAGAACCTCATATTGCTCACAGGCTAATAGCTGCCGCACTGGAAACCATTATGGAAGATGCTAAACGTAGGTCTCAGTGGTATGTTTTTTATTTCATCTTATTTTCAGGGATTATGACTGTTCTCGTGTCTCAATGGCAAACTGTTTCTGCTATTACAAAGTGTATATGTAACTCGTGCTTCAAGCTGTTTGGACTGTTCCGAAGTCTAAATTGTGATTTTTATCGGTTCCAGTTGCGATGTGTAAATAATACATGATGTGTTTGTTATGCTTGTGGTATCATTACTCAGTTGCATGAGCCTAAATGCTCCTCGTCGTTGTAGGTAAAAGGGCATTCTGTGAAATTTACAAGTTTCATTTTCTTATCTTACTCCTCTTGTGCGCCATAGATGTACAGGGCGAGCGCATGAATGCTCTTCCTTGATTCAGAAACATTAATCATCAAACCAGTAGATTCTTGGAAACTGATTTCCAGTCATATAAACAAGGGGAGAAGTCACAAGTGTTTAAACAAAGAATTTGGATTTTAAAGAAAGCGCTCGGCAGCAGACGCCGTGTGAGGGGAGAGAGTGCAGACGTCTTTCAGCAAGCTTTTTTTTAAAGTGGAGCCTGCATGGCACGGGGCGCTGTCTTGATCAGCAGTCTTACTTCCTATGTCTTTACTGACAGACCCTTATGAAACCACATCTTGACATAGTTGTGCACTTTCACTTCTTGCTTCGGCCCTCCTTGAGATTTCATTTGCCGACTTGGTTCCAAATCCCGGGCCGACGCGCCTGGTGCTGTATTTCCGACATGCACAAAGACATCCCGGGAAAAACTCACCTCTGTTGCGTGCGACCATCGCCGTGAGATGCTTGCCGCCATCTCGAAATTCTAGCGAGCGCGCTGGCTCGCATCTCCCTCCATCGGTGTCCAGGTGACCACGCGTGAACCGTCCTGTAGCGGCCGGACTTGATCGATGTCCTTCCTGCTAACGCTTTAAGCACCACGAGGTCAATGCAGTTGTCGCTACCCGAGGCGCCGCTCCCATATTGCGCTGGAGGGCCATCGAGAGAGGCTTGAACTCACTTTATACTCTCATTGAGAGAGCTTTATTATTCCACTTGAACTATGTGTGTTGTTGTTTTTTTCCCTGCCTTGCCATTGAGAGGATAATGATGCCGGCCTCTCAAATGGAGTGCTAACTGGTACTTCACTTTTCACATGTTAATCCCACTCAGCCTCCTCGTGCTGCCTCTGCGTTACTTTTACTGTAGCTCTTCATGTAGTCCTGACTTTTGCCCTATCATACCCACTCGCACTGCCCGCCAGCTTGTTTGCCTTCAAACCAAATCAGTCTACATGATCCAGAGGCTGAACTCAAGACATCCTGAAAGACAGTCGAATGTGCTGGGTTCCCCCCCCATGAACTTAAAACATATTTATTCCTGGCTGTCGGTCTTAACATAAAAGCAATCCAGGGTCTTTATCTCTTGTAATCACACAGCTCTCAGTAATGATCAGCAAACAGCAAAAAAGACAAAAAGACGTCACTCTGTTTTGTCTCCTCGCTGTGTTGGAGAGTTTGCTGTGCGCTCGTGATGCGAGCTGTTGTGGCTGCATCTATATTTAGACATCTTTCTTCCTACGCATTTTCAGGGTTGGTTGTTAAATAAGAAAATCAAATGACGCGCAAAGAGCCTGTGTAAGAGGGGAGAGCAGGGAGGAAAGGGGAGGGGAGAATGAAAGCCAATCCGCTGGGCTGCTTCTTGTGACATGACAACCGCTCTGTGTGTGTGTGTGTGTGTGTGTGTGTGTGTGTGTGTGTGTGTGTGT